GCCCCCTATTTCTTAACAAAGCCAAAATCTGCCCATTTAAGATTCTGTGAGTGCCTAGGCGCTCAGCCAGACTTTCCAGGTTCTAATTCTGGCCAATTACTTAACCTCTTTGGACATCAATTTTGTCATCTGAAAAATGGAGACAAACATTCCTGCCAAAATGGACAACCTGATTGTAATAGTGATAAAACATCAGAGAAACCAGACTGAGGCAACATTCTACAAAACCACAGGCCTGGATGCTTCAAAAATGTCCATGTTACAAAGGACAAAGGAAGGCTATTCCAACTCAATGCAACCTATGATCGTGGATGGAAACAAATCACTGCTAGAAAGGACATGATTGGGACAAATAGGAAAGTGAAAACGAACATTCTATTAGAATTAGATGGTAGCATGGTGTCAATGTCAAGTTTCCTGAATTTGATCACTGAACTGTGGTTACATAGGGGAATGTCCTCAGTTTTAGTAGGAAGTATTTACACACGAAGGATCACAGCATCTGCAACTATGCATATGGCTCAGGGGGAAAAACATATAGCGACCCTCCTTATCCACGGTTTCAGTATGTGTGAATTTGCCTGCTTGCTGAGGTTGAACAAGGAGACACACTGCCTTCTTGTTTTCGCTCTCATACTGGGAATAAGTATCCTTTTCACGGTCTATTTAGTGCTACGTTTTGTGCTTTTTGTTGATGTCATTGTTGAAAATGGTCGAAGCGCTGTGTAGTGTTCCTGAATGCAGGAAGGATGTGACGTGCCTTACAGAGAAAATAAATGTCTCATCAGGTAAGCAAGCTTCATTTAGGCATGACTGATAGTTCAGCTGGCCCTGAGTTCAATGCTAATGACTCAACGACATTTATTAAATAAGGTGTCTTTAAATTGAAACGTACATGAAACAAGGCTACCTATTGATCAGTTGACAAAAATATTGTGATCAGAGGCTCACAGGAACCTAACACCATATTTCCCCTAGGAGCGGTGGTTCAGTATTGGCTAATTCATGTTCATGGTGACTTTATAGAACTACCGAGAATAACAAGAATTGACTACCGTATTTCCCCATGTATAAGACGCTGCCATGTATAAGATGCACCTTAATTTTGGGGCCCGAAATTTGGGGCAAAAAATGTATTACATAAAGTTACTGAACTCAAGTTTTATTCATCATAAAATTCATACAACTCCTCATCACTGTCAAAACTCCCAACCATACCCAGTCTCGGATTGTTTTCTCAGTTGGAGGAGGACCAAACTTACGTTCAGCAGCACAATTTCCATTCACTTTTGCAAACTGGATCACTTTTAACTTGAATTCCGCTCTGTACGAAAATCTTTTCTGAGCCATTTCTGGGCAGAACGTGGCAAAACGTAACGTAATATACCGGTAACAAGTGCGAAACAATGAGCGCAAAGACAACAAGCGCAAAAAAGCGGGAAATGCAAGAAAAAAAAAAAAACAACCACTGTATAAGACGCACCCAGTTTTTAGACCCCAAATTTTTCAAGAAAGGGTGCGTCTTATACATGGGGAAATATGGTATCTATATTTCAGTTGCTATTCATGCAGCTTGTTTGTAGGTTTGAAATTTCTCAAAATGTTGAAAAAACAATTTGCTTAGAGGTTCACCTGATTGATTGGGGCACCACGAGAAATAATACCAGGTAGCCCAGACCCAACAAATACAGACACAGAGGAGGTGTCCCTTATGAGTATATTTATGTGTTCACACACACACGCACACACTCGACGACGCTGAACAGGATGGGCAGGTCAAGAGGAAAGGACAGGAAGAGTCCAGGTGGCACTGGCATGGGGGAGGAGGAGGGACAAAGGGAGCTTTTGTCCCTGCTCTGGCTCCCACCGGTGGCCTCCTAACAGGAGGTGAACCTGGAGCTGGAAGGACAGGAAGTGCTTATTCTCTTAGAGGAAAGTTTCAAAGTGCAGTCATTTCTCTTTCAAAAGAGACTCTTCCCTCCACTCTCTGCCCCCTGATGAAAGCCTGGAATCCTGCACAGGCTGTCCTTGAGGCTGGAGCAGGACAAGGTCATGGGGAAGGGCATAAGGCCAAAGCTAGGAGTGCCCAGGCCTGGCGGGGCTTAGGCATAATGGCTGCCAGGCGTCAGGGGGTGGTCCCCTCTGTGGTCCAGCTGGTCCTGCAAGCGGGCGAACTCGGCCAGCTCATTGAGCTCCTGGAACTGTCGGTCCGTCTTATGGCTGACCAGTGAGCGGTAGAAGTGGACGGCAAAGACGATGAAGACCAGGCCGAAGGGGACCATGATGGTGGTGGAGGCGATGGCGGCGGCCTGGCCCGGGGTGATGCCACTAGCGTCGTCACTGCTGACATTGGCCACCGCGCCGGGGGCTGGGGGCTTGCTGGTGGGCCGTGGCTGGCCCGGCTGCTTCTTGAGGGGCAAGAACTTGACCCAGCAGAGCAGCACGACCTCAGCCAGGAAGAGCAGCGTGCCGATGACGGTGGAGAAGGCCCAAGCCAGCTCGATGTGGCGGTGCATGCGCTCGTGGGGCGACTCCTTGACCGAGTTGAGGTTGTGCACGTTGCTCACTGCCTCGATGTTGGGCAGGATGCAGGTGCTGATCATGAGCGCAAACAGGTGCACGGCCACCAACACCGTTGTGCAGGCACTGAAGGCAATGAGCAGCCCCGGCGGGTAGTCATGCTCAGCGTCCAGCTGCACCTCCACCATTGCCACCTGCGGGGGGGAGAGGGGGAGGAGAGGTGGGCTGAGCACCAGGATGGTCACAGCTTTCCTCCTGTCAAGCTCTGGGACACTGAGCAAGTCACTTGGCCTCTCAGAACCGCTGTTTCCACATCTATACAATGGGGATAATAAAACCCATCTGCTTGGGGTTGAGAAGTGGCAGCAAGCACCGGTGAAGAAAGCAGGCTTGGAGCCCAGGCTGCCTGGATGTGAATCCTAGTTCTGTTACTCACTACTGGATGTCCTTGGGAAAGTCACTGAACCTCTCTAAGTCTCAACTTTTTCATTTGTAAAATAGGGACATCCTATTAATTCATGGGATTATTTTAACAATTCAATGAGAGCTCCTGGTACATGGCAAACACCTCCCAAATAGTAGCCACTGAGGTTACCACCCAGCCAGGTATTAAAAACCAACCACCACAAATGTTTAAAATGGTGTTATGTGTATCTTACTAGAATAGAAAAATTTTGCATTAAAAAAAAAAAAAAGCACCACAACTCTCGCTTTTGGCCCCACACTCCCATTCTTAAGCGGGGGGTGGGGTGGGGTGCCCAGGCCCTTTCTGAGAACACAGTACACCAACCAACAAGGAACCACAAGAGGCTTCCCAGAAGAGATGGACTCTAGCCCAGAGCAGTGAGACAGCGCTGGGGTCATCTCCTCCCCTGGCCCCAGCTCTGGGCTCTGGGCTCAGGGCCCCAGGGCTGAGGTACTGGCTGCTTCCCAGTTCCTAGAGACCTGTGGATCCGGGGTCACCTGGAACACTCTCCAGGCCACCCGCCCGCTGCTTCTCACCTGGGCCATGCAAATCGCCCCCATGAAAAGGAGCCAGCTCATCAGATCTGCACCAGGAGCAGCGGGTGGTGGGCATACTGCCAGGGCCTGCCTACCGAGCCTGGGGCAGTGAGCACTGATGGTAATACCATTAAGGACAGTGACCCTTCGTGAAGTGTTCGCGTCGTACATGCCAGACTCCGAGCGCGGGAGGTCTAGTGCTGAAATGTGTTGAGGAGCCCCGTGCTGGCCTGCCCTGACTCCTCCTTACTCCTGGGGAGGGTGAGGGGCTCCGTCCTTCCCCACCAGCTCTCCTTCTGCCTGTAATGCCTGGCTCTGTTTGCTTTCATTTCTTGTACCCTTCCTATGGCCTGGAAAGGCAGGGTGGGGCCATGGTTAGGACCACAGGCTCTGGAGTCAAGCAGCTTGACTTGGAACCTTGACTCCTCTGCACTGACAGCTCTACCTGGCTGTTACTCTGGCCAGTTTCTCCAACGTTCTGGGCCTCAGTTTCTTTATCTGTAAAATGGGAACAATGGCACATGGCTCAGAGGGTGTGGTGAGGGCTGAGTAATCCCATGTAAAATACTGAGTGCCTGGCACAGAGGAAACCCTCAGTAAAAGCTTTATTAATTACGATCATTTAGTTTAGAAATCTCACTCCCAAACTCACTGTCTCTATGTGAAATTCTCTGGGGTTTCTACCCTCCTCCTGGAGGGATATGCACAATCTGGAGCTGATTTGGGGTCCGACAGCTTTGAGACTCTGGTGACAATAACACCCAGGTATAATACACTCACAGGACTTTTCCAACAATTTCAACGGGACTCACACATTTTGCTCTGGATTTCCCACAAACTGAGGATTGTATGAACTCTTCAGCCCAGCAGTTTACAAAATATTACAAGTTTCTATAACTCTGGAGCGGTGCCATTAGGATTCGGACTGCTTTTAAGACCACTGGAGGCCTAATGCCAACCCTGAGAATTCTTACAATATGCCAGTGAGGGATGTGGGGCATCAGGGCAGGCCACCAGGGCACGGTGAATGAAAGGCCACATCTGGAGGCCCTGTGGTCTCTGTTCCCAGGGCTGCCCACACTGGAAAACAGGGGCACACGCCCTCTAGCAGTGGTGCCTCCCGCCACCTCCCCACCCCCAGCACTTCCTCTTCCTGTTTTGGCCTGCTGCCCCGAAACCTGAAACTCAAGAAGGGACAAGCAGGAGAGCCTGCTGCTTGGCTGCCCCAGGTCCACTGGCTACTTATACCCTCACTGGAAATGTCTGCACCCATTAGGTGTGTCACACCCTGAGTGGTGTGACAGTGGTGGCGGCGACAGTGGGGGCATATACAGGTAACGCTTCTAATCGGTTCCCTGACCTGGTTATCTCCCCCTCTATATAGCTATTAAGTGTGAACCGACACCTCCACTTACAAAGCTGGTGACCCTGGACAAATATCTCAACCTCTCTGTGCCAGAGCTTCTGCATCTATAAAAATAGGGGCCTACTTCTTCCAGTTGTTGAGGATTCAATGCGTTCACAAATATAAAAAGTCCTTAGAACAAGACCTGGCATACAATAAGCTTAATCAAGTGTCAACGATCATTAGTAACATCACTATTCTTCTTTTACAAATGAGGGAACTGAGAGAGGTGGTCAGCTGTCCCAAAGGTTATACTGCTGCTGAGTGGGGGATCGGAACTCAAGTACATTAGGCTCTGAAGTCCATGTACAAAGGGGGTCATAGGGGTGCTTCCCTCACACGGCTGCTACTATAGACTGAATGTTTGTAGCCCCTCTAAATGTATACATGGCAACCCTAACCCCCAATGTGATGGTGTTAGAAGGGGACCTTTGGGGGTTATTAGGTCACGAGAGTGGAGCCCCCATGATGGAATTAGCGCCCTTATAAGGCGAGACCCCTCATCTCCCACCATGTGAGGACATGGCGAGAAGATGGTATCCATCAGCCAGGAAGCTGGCTTTTGCCAGATATCGAATCTACGGGCGCCTTGATCTTGGACTTCTAGCCTCCAGAGCTGTGAGAAATAAATGTTGTTTATAAGCCACCCAGTCTGTGGTGTTCTGTTATCACAGCCTGGATGGACTAAGACAGTTGCCAAAGAGATTAAATGAGGTCTTGACATGAAAGTGTTTAACACAAGGCTGGCCCACAGGAGGTGCTCAATAAATCTTAGGTAAAAGGAAAAAAACAAGGCTTGAAACAGAAGAGAAATAGCGCCTGGACACTCTCAGCTCAGGCTGGAGAGCGCTGACCCCAGGGTGCCCATGGTCTACCCGAAGAGGTGAAAGAGGGGCCAGAATCCTGACTCTGGGCCTCATCTGCCCCAGCTACAATCCCCGCGATGCTGGGCCCTCTGAGGAAGAGGAAGGGGCCTGTTGCTATGCTCCAGAAGAAACCCCATCACCCTCGCTGGACCCTACAATTCCTGGAACTTTCATCATAGGCTAGCTGTACGTACCGTCCCCGCACTGGCGACCAAGTTCAGTGCTGCGTAAAGGAACAGTTGGCACAAATCATGGATCCTGATGGAAACTGTTCACAGGAATAAAAGCCACTACTTTTTCCAGAACGCTTCCAGCTTGGGAAATCTCCCCATGGGTAGGAAGAGTAAAGTCGGGGGGCCCCATGGAATCTGGCAGGCGACTCCCAGGGCCCCAGCTGAGTCCCAGAGAAATCAGATCAGATTGCAAGCAGCTTCACAAGGTAAATATAGCCAGAGCCTGTTAACCCAAAATAAACAGCTCCCAGCCAGCCACGGGCCTGCTTCAACCTGGCCATAGAGGTCCCAAAGGGGTAGGAAGGGCAAGAGACAGCCGGCCACACCTCATACTGGTCCATGCACCCCCCCACAGGGGACACTAGGATGCCAACTTTTCAAGCATGAGCCAAGATGTTCATGTGATCTGAGGGGTAGGGTCTGGCTGGCTTTGCCAGGTGTCACTGCCCGCTATGCCTGAATGCCAACCACCTCTCCTCACTCCTTCTGGGCTCCATGGAGACCCTGGCCACCTGGCGCCTGGAAGTCCAGGCCCTTCTAAGGCAGCCCTCCTAGGACTGGCCCAACCCCAGCACTCACAGCTGGAAGACACAACTCTCCTTTCCCAAGCCTGGGCTTCTCTTGTTCACTTTGAGGAGCCTGGAACAGGAGGGCCGCCAAGCCGCAGTCACCCAGGGTCACCCAGAGCTGTCTGAGCCTGCCGGCCCCACCTCAGATGCAAACCATCTATTAAGAGAGTACTGACGCCTAGCCCAGCAGTTTACAAACTCTTTTGACCACTACAGTCCAGTGCTCCAAATGTTTCTATAAATAGACACACACACATTTTAACAGAAACAAAAATTCCACCAAATAATATTCATCCTTAAAAGCATGAACACAGTCTAATTCTCACAATATGCGCCATATGCCACGTACGCCGCTACTTTCTGTGTCATTCCATTCTTATTCCATTAAAAAAAAAATGCTGGTTGCAACTCACTAAATTTACATCATAAGCCACTAATAGGTTGAACCTGTCGATTGGGGCAGGGAGTGGGGAATAGAACAGGCTTAGATTCTGTCTTCATCTGGCTAATCCGAATTTTTTTAGATTTTACCTTCCAAGTCATCCATTCTATGGCCTCCCAGGTCAAGACGGGGCCATTCATTTATCCAAGTAAAATATTTATTGAGAACCCACACTATATCCCTGGAGGGTCTCCTGACTCGGCTGGAGAGGAAGCGGGAAGTAAGATAGCAACTCCCGGCTCCCGGAAGGATGGCAGGTGCCAAACATTTAAGCAAATAAGTATTTTCAGGCTGGGATTTGTGGCCTTAATCAGTGTTCCTCCATCATCACACTGACCAATATGTTTGGAAGATGTAAAGACGTGTCCAGGTTCCTCCACTCAATTTGTTTCTCCAGCACCCAGCCCGGGGCCTGGCCCTCTCCGGGCCTCAGTAAAAGAATGTGGAAGGAGGAATAAATGGAGGTATGCCCCAACCTTCAGGTATTTCGGTCCAACGCCTCTAAAGTGTCTAGCAGGCAATCCTACGTGATCCACTGGAAATCGCAAGGCCATATTAGGGCTTCTGATGACATTCATTTGTGATTCGGCTTATCTTTTCAGTGCTGTATTTTTATGTATGTTTTCATACACACGGTGTTGTATTAGAGCACATATACCTAAGCATACCTAAGATGAATGTATAATACACATAATATGCATACGAATAGTGAGGCTAGCACTAACAATTTTTTGAGAGGTGTGTGCACTCAAAAGTTTGGAGACCACCATTTAGACCAGGGGTCGGTAAACTGCGGCCTGCAGACTACAGTTTTTGTAAAGTTTTATTGGCCTATGGCCACGCCTACTCACTTACCTATTAGCTGAACGAAAGTGGCAGAATTGAGTAATTACCATGGAGCTCTCATGGCCTGCAAAGCCAAAAATATTTACTCTCTGGCCCTTTACAGAAGAAACTGGCCGATTCCTGGGTTAGACTAATGCTCCCCAAGAGGTCTGTCACATCATAGTCCCAGGAGATTCTCCTCTAAAGAAAAGAGTCTGTGGTCCCATCAGTTTGAGACATCACTTCTGGGGAGTACATTAAAGGCCTCAGGGGGCAGCTGGTTAGCTCAGGTGGTTAGAGAGCAGTGCTCATAACACCAAGGTTGCCGGTTCGATACCCACATGGGCCACTGAACTGCGCCCTCCACAATTAGATTGAAACAACTACTTTACCTGGAGTTGATGGGTCTTGGAAAAACACACAGTTCCCCAACAAAATTAAAAAAAAAAAAAAGGCCCCCAGAAGTTCTACCAGAGGGAAACCTGGCTGTTGTCTAAACTTTCTGTTTTATTTCTCCAAGGGAAGCCTCCACCATGCTGATTACCATAGTGACCCGTTGGGAAGCCCTAGAGTCCTTCACCAGCCCTGGACCCAGCAACCAGCAGAGCTCAATACAGATCCCAGCTGAAAATTCCAGAAATGTACCACAGGCGCTTGTGAAGTTTTACAAAAGGCTTCTTAGTTAGGCAGGGAGTGCCGTCCCTTTATGGCATTCAGCGAAATTTTATTTCTGCACAGCCCCAAACTGGACATCTGGAAGACTTCAAAGGCCCAATTATCAACCAGCTTCAGGGGACGTGAGAGAGGGTAGCTGAGTAGAAAAGGCTCCAAGTCAGACAGACCAGGGCTTGAATTCTACTAGCAGGGTGATTATAACCTCTATGAGCCTTGTGTTCCTAATACCTTTAGAGCTGAGGATTAAATAAGCATGAAAGAAAAAGGTCCAGGCACATGCCTGGTTGTTCAGTAAATAGTAACATCAACATTAGTCTCGAATTCATCATGTGACTCCTCCGCTCTAAAACCTTCCATGGCTCCCCAGTGCCTATATGAGAGCTCAAACTTCCTAACAGCACCATCTTGCCTGGCTAGATTCATCTTTCTCTACAACTTCCTAGACACCCTCAACTCCAACCACACCAGCCCCGCTGCCTTTCCCAGGGACCCTATAATTTCTCATCTTTGTAACTAATTGTTCCTAATACTTCCTCTAATCAGAGGGCTCTTCCCCAAGCCCTAACTCTACCATCTTCAAGGCTTAGCTGGAATCATTCTCCTAAATCAGTTAAGTCTTATAAAAGCAGCCCCAACACCATGGGAACAAGAGTAAACAAGACTCCTGGATACCTGGGCCAGGTATATTCTAAGTGCTTTGTAAATACAGATGCCCCTTGATTTATGATGGGGTTACATCCCAATAAAACGATTAGAAGTTGAAAATATCGTAAGTAAAAAATGCATTTAATACACCTAACCTACTGAACATCATAGCTTAGCCTCGCCTACCTTACAGGTGCTCAGATCACTGACATGAGCCTACATGGGTCACAACTACCGTGTTTCCCCGAAAATAAGACCAGGTCTTATATTAATTTTTGCTCCAGTAATCTACATTTATTCATTTATTCATGTACAAAAATCTACATTTATTCAAACAACCGTGTGGGCCCGACGATCTTAACTGGGGCTTATGTTTGGGGTAGGGCTTATATTATAAGCATCCTGAAAAATCACGCTAGGGCTTATTTTCCGGTTAGGTCTTATATTCAGAGAAACATAGTATCAAACACAAAGCCTGTTTTATTATAAAGTGTTGAATATCTCATGTAATTTATCATACATATCACTTTCATACCATCATAAAGCTGAAAAATCTGTTAAGTCAAACCACCTTAAGTCGGGGACTATCTGTACTAACTCAATGAATGAGGTTGGTACTGCTATTACCCCCATTTTACAGATGAGGAAACTGAGGCCCAGAGACATGACGTGTTTTCCCCAGGATTTCAGTTGTACGTGGAAGAGCCAGAACTTGAACCTATGATATCTGGCTCCAGAGTCCCTGCTCTTACTTTGCTTGGGCATACCTGAGCCTCCCACCACTCTGATGCTTCCTCTCCCATAGCAATAGGGCTGCACCACAGACCCAGGGCTCTGTAGCTTATCGGCCAGGTAACCTCGGGTAAGTCATTCAATCCTTACCAGGTTGTGTGCCGATCACAAGAGACGGTACAAGTACAACCCTTAGCACAATGTCTAGCTCTCGCAAGAGCCCAATCAATAACAGCAACAATTACTATTAGTAATTAGCTCTATCAGTAGTACAAGTAATGCCTTACTCATCTCCATGCCCCTTGGACTCTGAATCCATCACAAAGGCTCAAAATAATGTCTTATGATTTGAGCCCTTCCTTCCAACTCATTTTCACAGAAATTCCAAGCAACTTTTAAACTCGCTCTGGAACCTGGGAACAAAAGGGTGCTGGCGGGCAGAGAACTTGAGGAGGCAGATAATCCAAAAATAATTGATCCCAGGTCGTGGAAAGCATTTTGTTTACGGCAGCAGGCTGACCTTCCCAATTATCTTCTGCTTAGGCTAACGTTACAGCCTGCCCTCCCCAGCAAACCAAGATTGCCATGTGTGCTTGCCACGGTCCTGCAGGGGACAGGGTCAGGCCGAGCCTGGCAGCCTCTCACTGAGAGGTAAACTGAGGCACGGATGGTTTGAATCATAGCCCTCGAGGGTACCTTTGGCTCAAGAGCTCCTGCAGGATGCTGATCATGTGCTATACCCAGGGTCCCTGGCAGGTTCGGAGTACAGATGCTGAGCTGACACAGCACCTTATTTCTAGAAATGTTGGCAGGAGAGGGAAGCTTGTCTGCAGACTAGAGGGTCCGGCTAAGGTGTACATCATCAGATCCTGAAAATTCCTCACCCTTTCATGGGCCCAACTGGGCCTCGTAATGAATCCTCATGCAAGTCCCTGAGATCGCAGGATATGTGCCTTTTTTGTACACATGAGAAAACTGGCCCCAAAGAGTAAAGTCGTTTGTCTGAGGTCCCACAGCCTATCTCCCCAGCACATGAGGACACCTGGCCAGGCCCTTCCACCCATGAGGGGGGGAAGTCTCTCAATCCCCTCCATGTTCTTGGGAGACACTCCCTCAATCTCACCTGGGGATCAGGTGAGTATGGTACCCGGCTAATTTTCCCACCCCTGGAGATCGAAGGTCATGTCAGCGCCTCTGGTTTTCCAGGTCTCTAGGAAGTCCTGGGGGCAGGAAATTGGTAGTGCTGACTCACAGGACAAGGGAGAGTAGTCCAGGAAACTTGCTCACTTAGTTTCCATGGTGCTGGGCTGTGCGGCACGCCTTCCTCGCAGAGGCTCACTCACAAGGCTGGGTGTCTGTGGTGGAGGTGAGGCACGGGCAGACCTGCCTGCTGAGCCCTCCTCGCCAACCCAACCCCATCTCTCCCATAGATTTCCAGGCACATGACAGACACAGTTACCCTCTTGTAACTGCTTCCTCAGAATGGAGGCTGTCATAGGGTTCAGCCCTTCCTTGCCGGCAGAACTTTTGGGGATTCCATCAGTGAAGCCTTTGCCACACCGACCGAGGAAAATAAGGGTCCCCAAGAGACAGTCTGGGTGAGCCAAGACCCTCCCAATGCCGCTGGCTGCCCCTGCCTCCAGATTTCCCTCACCGTTTTTTAGCAAGAAGAAGAGGGAGGTAACAAACATTTGATTAGCAGGCCAGGCTTCTTCGGGAGGGAGAGAAGACTAGAAAAAGCAGGACAGTGTCACCCACTGGATCCTCACTTCTCATGGAGTGGGAAGGCCCTGGGCAGCTATGAATTTATGACCCCAAGAAAAAGGGGAACAGACATCCCACCTTCTTAAACCCAGAGCACCGCTGTGACAAGCTGACCATCCCTGGTGTCTCTCCCCTACCCCAAACTGTAACATTTTATTTTGCTGAAAACAAACTTTTGTGCTCTCGTTCTCATTCCTTAAGAGGCCTTGTCCAAACATGTCCCTGGCTGGGCATCAATCAGAGCTCCACACACACAAATGACAGAAGTGCCCAAGACAGTTCTGACGGGTGCCAACTGACCTGGGTTCAAATCCCACTCCAACAGACCAGCTGTGTGGCCTTGACAAAGTCCCCTGACAACATCACCTCAAAGGGTGGTAGAGGAGTCTGTGGAAGTTAGGAAACCTACACAATGCCTAGTACATAGTAAGTGCTTGGTAAGTGCCGGTTCTTCTAACTTTCTTCAGGCAAAGGCAGAGATTGTTCTCTTAGAATCTGGGATT